GTTGACAGTTAACTCTCTCCGCCCCCACCCCCCCGTCAGAGTTGTGTAAAGGCTGATGGGTAATACTGGATTTTGACGGAAATGTTACGATCCTGTCCGTCAAAATGACGGGCAGCGAAAAAGTCTAGCGCAACCTCTGGACTAAAGACCATTAACTGTTGTTGAGGGCTCAAGAAAAACTCCTTGAGCAGATATCTCTTCTCCAACTACAATGTCAATTTAATTTATTTTCTGCAATATCAGTCATTGTTTGAGTCTCAGAAACCTACCTGTATTCTTCCCTTGTAGCGACCAGACTTGACACGTTTCGAAGAATTCCTCCTCCGCTCTCGATGATGGCAAGCGAATTGGTTTGACATCGGTACGTCAGTGTGCTCACCAGAAAACCCAGAGCGCCGTCCACTGAGCATATTGCCACCTTGTTGTCAGTGCTATGAGCAGAAAGATTCCACAGAGCACTGAGGAGGCTCTTCAAGGTCGACTCCTGAAAATCAGCAAAACAACATATAAGGTTTTGTTGGCTTTGTATACAAACACAGAAAGTACATATAGTCAGTGAACATAATGTCTTCAGAGCTTACATTTGAAATTATTCAGAGCGTGCTTTTTAAAATCACACTGTGACTTGCTGTTGGAACTGACAAGTTACTGACTTGATAGGATTAGCCAACTCCGGTTACATTCATTTAGAAACCTTATAAACACATACGCACAGTTTTACACTAATTGACATGCTGTATATCATGTATATAATTTGTTCTAAAAGTAAGCGTAAAAGCGATGGAAACTTCCACAAGATACGAAATGAGTAATTTAGAAGATGTCTTTAAGATCTTCCTCACATTATCTCTGTGCGGGTGAGGTTGTTTGAGTTACCTTGGTAGCCTGCAGGGCACAGGTCATCAGGGCAGACACAGAGCCGATGTCTCTGAGGACCTTCTTACTGCTGATGTCGGCCCTCCAGGATAGGTTCCTCAGGATGCTGGAGACCACTTGATGTAGCTCCTCACTGTCTGACGCCAACTGGGCCACAAGAGCCACCAGACAGCTCTTCTTGGAGCACAGAGTGGCCTGAAATGTGAACAGAAAAAAGACCCAATTGTTTTAGTTTGGTAAATCAATAAAAGACATTTTTAATTGATCTGTTGACTGTCACAAAGGCCTGTCGGTCAGAGCTGCTGTCACAGAGCATTTCAAGCATATTTCTGTCTGGCTTTACAGTTTATGAATTATTTAGCATTTAAATGACATACTATACTATTTTTTTTTAAAATACACGCTTTACTTTGATCTTTTTTCTGTATGTTTTTTTTAACACATATCAGGTTTGATTGTTGTTATTTGTTATTTTTATTATCCTATGCTTTTCATTTTTTATATAGCATACTATGAGTTTTAATCTTTTATGGCTTTTTATTGTCATCACATGACATGCTATGCTGCATTTTTTTTAATGATTTTTTTTACAACATATTTCATTACTTGATTTATTTTTTATGAAACATTTTAGTTGTAGTGTGTTTAAAAACGTTAAAGTATAGTATGTCATTGTAAATGCCATTTAAGTTATAGTATGGTATTTCATGAAAATGCCAATAAAGAAATAGAATAGCATTTCATTAATGTCATAGTTTAGTATGTCATATGAATGCCATACATTACAACTTCATATTGTAGTATGTTATGAAAATGCCATAAAGTCATTGAAAAGTGTTTAAAACCTCATAGAATAGTATGACATTATAAGGGTATTAAAATGAAGTGACCGCAACAATCTACACTCTTACCCTAAAAACCGACCGACACCAGTGTTAGTAAAAGTCCGAACAAAAAGGGTGGCAATCTATTGTTGAAGAAATATTTAGATCTTGTACTTAAATAACATTAGCATTATCAAACTATGTATACTCTATTACAAGTTAAAGAGCCTGTGACACGAGTTTCCCCCATCATCCAAACCCATCAATTTGAGTAAATATTGTCCCCTTGAAAACCGTTACTGAACTGATTTTGGATATTTGTACTTTGATAACCATTAATCTGCCCTTCAATGTTGACCATTTTCTGGATCTTCTCGGGGATTCTTCAAGTCCCGCCAAATTATGTGTGACGTCATTGCGGGCACAGCGCTCCAGCTGCACCGTTCAGGATCCCAGCATCTGCATGTAAACGCACGATGGCGCACACAGCAGCAAGCTCAGACAGCGATGACAGTTTAATTTTGAACGTGTCTGAGAGCTCATATGAGGCTGAAGGATCGGTATATGTTGTATCTGTTAGAAGTTTAGGAATTAGGTGCGTCAATATGGGCGATCATACGGTCATGTAGCCAGTGGTGGACTGGGAATAAAAATCATCAATGGGACTCTCGACCGGCCCACTTCGGTACCGCTAGTAAATTGTCAACGGGGGGAGTGGGGTGTGTGCGAGTGACTTATCCGACCGGCCCATTTCGGTACCGGCCCATTGGGATTCGTCCCGATTGCCAGTCCGCCACTGCAACCAGCCCAGCCCACGTAAACTGTCAACGGGGGGAGCCTACCTGCGGGGAAACGGTGGACCTAGTGTCCCCAATCGGAGTGGGAATAATAATAATAATAATAATCCGTGCATTTTATCCATTAATTTCCCCAACATTGTGGTAAAAAAACCACACGTTTAATCCATGTTGGTGTACTACAACTACA